TTGTAGCCTTTCCTGAAAAAATAGCCATCCCCAGATCCTCGGCACGTATATACTTAATTCTCATTGGCTCGAGGTATGCACGGGTATACCTTAAGCTTTTATTAGCAAATATCAACAAAACCAACAAGAAGAATCGTGCGCCACCTGACGCGGCCACGTCACCCGTTTACCCCCGAAACCGGACAGTGCATACTCCATATCCGCAGAGCAACTACCTGTGGTAATTCCGAACGTTCGCATGCTTCTCGAGCTATTCCAAAGACAATCCCGTATGGCCCGATGCTTTTTCCAATTGAGGCGGCCTCATCGTGGACCTCTAGCACAATTCCTTGCCGTACTCTCAAATGTCAACTTTCGATGTGGAAACCAGCAAAAGTTAGATGAATTAATTGATGGCGTCGGCGAAAAGACCTGGGCGGCAATACTCCATGCACTTCGTATTCGAACTGACCAGAAATCGCTATCCTCCCAAGATCCTCTAAGTTATCCCCAGTAAAAATTTGGGTTTTCTATGGATCATTAGTAGCAGCACACCCAGGATACACTGCAGACCGTCGAGCAGCTATGGTGCAACTGACTCTGGCATAAGTTTCTTCAAGGTGTAACTTGAATCGGCCGAGATCTGGCCAAAGTAGCGAAAGTTTTCACTAAATATGCCGCACAGAATCTCAGATGAGAAGTTGACAGGAGAGACCTCCACTGTTAACTTTATCCAGTAGTGCTCCGAACTTTTGAAATAGGCGGGCATTTGCGAACTTATTAGTGTAGAGTGACGAATATTGCTTTCTGAATGATTAGACTATGTTTCAGTGCATGCTAAGAATCAATATAAATAGGTAGCAACAATGAATCCTCTTTTCCAAGTGATCCGAAAATTTCTTCATTTCAAACGGTTTTCATTTAAATCACAGGCACGTTTTCTTAAATTCACCCGGAACACTTTCCATGTCGAATTGGCGACATCTTTTCAAGCCACTGAGAAACAGTTTTTTTTTCATTTCAAATTGTACACATTTCCAAAACGTTAAAGGCGATCTAACTTCCTATATAAATTTGTACACACTATAAACGCTTCGTCTGTTGTCTGTCTGTCGTCTGCCGTTTTGCTATGTCTGTCAGAAAGTTCCCTAGCCTCTTCGAGATCCGCCATGGCTAGTACAAACTATAAAAGAGCTTCGTCGTGTCGTTTTTGTTCGTGTATGGCCTGTCACGAAATTCCCTAGCTCCTCGGGATCGCCTAAAGAGGACCGGCGGTCAAGCGTGGGAGGGTGGGCAATGTCTCATGAAGTTACAAAACATACATCACTATGCGGAGCCCGCCCACGGTGGGCGTGGCGTGCATCGAAATGAACTGCACCATACCAATTATCTTCAATTTCAGTGACATAAACAATTGTCGAAACTGGGTCCAACGTGAGTCAGGTGTGCAGTTAGGTAATTCACGGCGTTAGAGTTCACCTCCCGGTGGGCGGCGTTCTCCAAAAAAAGCGAGCTTTTGAAAATTATTCGGCGGAGAAGTCTTAGTGAGTCGCGAAAAAGGTGGATAGAGGTGTGGTGAAGGAGTTCAGCAACGGTAATGGTGGTGTGGGCATCCAAAGTGGGCGGAGTTTGCGAGGGAAATTCATAACTCGGTTTCAAGAAGTCCGGAGACGGGAAAAAGGTGGATTAGAAGGTGGGTGAAGGAGTGGAGAGCCCAACTGCTTATTTGTGGGCGGGGCACGAACTCAACTGGGCGGGAGTACATGACGAAACCCTACTCGGTTCCAGGTGAGCCCTGTGAACCGGAAGGAGGAAGTGAGGCGAAGGACAATGAGGTAAATTTCTATGGTGTGACGGAGGACACACAAAAAGGTAAAGTGCGAGGTCGTTGGCGAGTAGAAAAATATAAGGTGAGACCTGCCAAAAGAAATGTGGCGGAGGTTTAGCATGAGATTTAACAAAAATGCCATCGGTGGGCATGAGGTGTGGGCAATGGATAGAATTGTCAGCTGAAATTCGAATTATCGAGTTATTGGGCCAAATCCGAAGAAATTTACGCCCGGCACACTGCCATGTCGCCAGCAGAATTGTGCTGTGTGCTGTGCGCGCAATGCGTGCGGGGACCAGCGGTCATCTGAATAAAATCAAGACAGATAACGCAGCCACTCCGTAATTTTTTTCGCTGCAGCGCAAGCTTAGTGACCGCGGTAATTGAGAGCAAATGCTGAGCGCAGGTCATTAAGGAGCGTTAGGACGATGACGGAACTTTCCACATGAATTGGCAAATTGGAGCGACTGAGAATGCAGATGCCTTTGTCTAGATGTGCCCTTCCTTTCTACTGTAATTATTATCGTAGAGGCAAATTCACTTTGTTTTACACAAATAGCTGTTTCGCTAAAGAGGGGGAAAAATTTGTCTAGTCGGTATAAAATCCCTTAATCAGAAAAGAATTCACGTACGAAAATACAAAATGGCCATTATTCGTTTGGGCAGTTGATTTTGGAACAAATAACTAATGATTTCAAAGGCTCTTGTCAACTCCGGGCTGACATTGAGAAGCGTTAAGATCAAACTGAAAAGGGAACTTTGCGTCCAACAAAATGCTGACACTAAACAAAATAGCGTTGTAAGATAAGTCCACCATTAGATGAAATCACATTTTTTGCAAGGAGATGTATTTATTATGGAATTTCTTCTTAAAAATTTCGAAAAAGTTCTTCAAAGCAATTTTCTACAATTATGAAAACAAAACGTCGCAATTTCAAAAAATACGTTTGATAGAAGTGTGAATTTTCACCAAACGAGAAATTTTTGAAGATCAGCTAACAAAAAACAATAACACACAATTATCGGAATAGATATTATGTATGAAATAGCGGTTTTAAGTCTTAACAGCATCAGCACACGGGTATGTGACGAAAAGTTACAGTACGGCGATTATAGCGATCCTAAAAGCTCTTTGCGAAATATCTTAGTCAATCGAACTCGACGATCATAGAAACGCCTTTCATTTCAAGTGACCACATCAAACTTTTTTCGACAGCAGTCAAAGTTCAGGTTCAATTAGCGGAGCTTAGATAATGATCGAGTCGCGCCGACGGGACCGCGATTCGTCCGAGTTGTAGAAATTACAAGTGCGCCTCAATCAATGTTGCAAGATTATACGCTTCGATGAATGCCTATAGTAACAAAACTGAACAATCAAAAAATAATCTCGACTGTTCTTGATTTTGGCTTCATGTTCAATGTTTCAAATGCTCGCGAAATCTCCTTGTTTTTTTTTCCCTTTTCAAAGAAGAAACTCAGCATAGATTCTGAACCGAGAAGAAGTGAGTTGATAGTTTCAATTTAAAACATAATTCCGTTTTCTAACCGTGAGAAATACCCTTGCATTAATCCCTTCTACCTCGATAATTAATTGCCTTCAGGTCTTCATGGCATCAAATCTCAAAAGGTGTTTCTAATAAAATTAATGACATTCTACATTGAGAAATAAATCTTGTCGGTTCAAAAGAATCCACGATGGAGTTTCATTCCCTGAGAAAGAAAAAAATATAGAAACAGGACTCATGAACATTTGAATAACAATGAACCTCACTGAACATTATTGCAATAGAATCATAACAGTCTTTAGCGATGCTTCATAGTCTGCGGTCCGTGCCGTCCGCGCCGTTGCCCTCGTCGGCAACTCGGACAGGAGTAAAAAACGTCAACACGCGCTCTGGCGCATACTGTGTACTTGGTCGCGCGCAGTCGGCGCTCCCTGTGACGATACTTCGGTTTAAACACGTTTGACGACATTCGCGCGTTTGGTCATTTTGGCCGCGTGGACCGAGAGCGGTTTCTGGCGAGCGACGCCGCCTCACACAAATCTGTGGGTTTGAAGCATTTGAGAATACGCCAATTTTTCGATGCGACAAAATGAGTATTCACTGATTCGTGGTGTTAAACGTTGGGAAGGTACACTATGTGAAAGTGCAAGTCGAACGAAATGTGTTACTGCATCCTGAACAAAGGCAAGTTTCCTTTCTTTGCTTTCAGGGAATTTCAAAATTACATTTTGTGAGCACGTGGTTGTTCGGTAAAAACACATATCTTTGCCACAACCGAGTAGCTTTGCGTACTCAAAACTTTACAATAATTCCCTTTTTATCTACATGCTTCGTGTTCCATGAAGAGAGAAAATGAGAATGAACTGACAACGCGAGATGGTTCATGTTTTCGTCCGGTCCCCTCTGCCAAACTAAAGAATATCTGGTCATTCTATAAGCCGCGTGGTTCTTGGTTATGTTGTGGTATGGCCTAGGAAATGAACACAAAAAACCTGGGAAGGAATGGCGCGTTCAAGAAAAAACTGAATTTAAAGGGTGTGGCAACTATAGTTGCCACAATGTCCACTGCGGCGTGCAAAACGCGGCAAACCTAGTTGCCGCGCTGTCGTCAAAGGGGTTAAATGCATTTCCTGCATTTTTCGAAGTTTGAAGATGTGTTGCGTTCCGTTATGTTTTTTTTTAGTTTAGACTTCTTCTTTGCCTTAGTTGATATGTTTCAATTGCTCCGATCGAGTTGGCGTGGATTGGCTATGTGAGAACGTGACAATAAGACTCATGGAGTTCGTCATTTCATTTCATATGTTTATACGAAGTAAGAACTAAAGAAAAAACATGAATGAACGCAGGACATCTTCACAAACTTCGAAAAATGCAGGAAATGCATTTAAACCGAGGTATCGATCGAGGGAGGCGCCGACTGCGCGCCAAGTACGCATTGTGCGCCAGAGCGCGTGTTGACGTTTTTCACCCTGTCCGAGCCGTCCGCACGGACGGCGCGGACGGTACGGACCGCACGGACCACAGACTATGAAAGCGGCCTTATTCAATTATCGAGCAGAATTGGCGAGGGATTAGAGTAGCACCCTGCAGTATTGAGTGGGCGCTTGCGATTTCTGCGATTCGCGAGATTCCCGCAAATCACAGCTTCCGTTGCGGACTCTGACTCCAGCCTGACAACTGCAAAATAATCACATTGAGGCAAAAGTAGAGAATTGATCAATGAAACCCTTATTTGAAATCAACCAACCAGAGTCCGCCTCATCGCACTGCCTGTTGCATCCAGATGGCTTACGGTCGCGGTTAGCAGAAGACCGCGAGCGATTTGAGCCTAATGACATGTTACTGCCAGACCATGAATTTTGCAGTCTGCAAATTACAAACGAGGTGTGATAACTGACTATCGATTGTCGATTCCAAATTAATAAACTAGGAATGCAGAATAAAAGCGATTTCTGCGATTCGCGATTAATAAACTAGGAATGCAGAATAAAAGCGTGCAACACAAGTATGCAAAAAGTGGATTAATAATATTTGTGAATTGTGAATATTTTACAGTGGGGTATTTGATGCCTTCCCATGGGGAATATGACTGGAGGTTTTTTATTGAAAATTGTCACCAGAAAAAAAGGAGAAAATCCAAATACAGAGAGAAATCAAAAGCATCACGCAGTAGCATGAATTGCATGACTTAAATGACGAATTCACGCTGGGAAGGCAACCCATTTCAAATTAACTCAGGGATGGTGATTGGTACATGAAAGAAGGAAGAACCATGAGAAACGGCCCAGAACCCGAGAAATGGTACCCCTTCCTTCCCCGCTGATTTGCGCATTGATGCGACTCTTATCGCTGTGCCCTCCTCAACATCACGCTTTCTCTGCTATCTAGTCAATCCCACGTATAGATCTGCGGCGAGTGATCAGTTGGTCGGTGGGCGGAGATCGCCAGACCCGCCAACTTTGAGGCATAATAGGTCGCCGAGGTCAAGTTTTTTCGATGCGAACTGCGCATCAGTTCGCACCATCAGGAGGTCCGTGAGTTACTCACTAGGTAAATTACTTCTTCTTCGACCTCCATTCTAATCGTGAAATCCTCCTTTAAATAGTTTAATGTATACTGAAAGGATACAAATTTCGAAAAACAGCAAAGACGGTTTATTATTTTTTCTAGAGTAGTTGAGCGACCTTTAAGTAGTCGAACACTATGCTTGGTTAGAGTAATCGTAAAGTGAACCTACTCACAAAAGACCTCCGACATTATGTGTATGCACGACATTGTCGTAGTCCTGCATCCGATACATCTCCATGTCGCTGACCCGATGCCGTGGTCGACGACTGCCGTCGAATGCTGAACTTATCAAACTACAAAAATTGTTCAGTAGGAAAAACAGTAAGAAGGATCGCGAGAGCTGAACATTATCAAAAGGTAGGAAAAAAAAGAAGAACGTCAAATTTCAATTTCCAATCTGAAGAAGGTAGCGCCCATTTTTAGGCTCTATCGCATCATACGGGAGTACTGTAGAGGCAACGCATTCGAATCACGTGGAACATGTCCTTTTTGGTGGAAACGAGACCTCAGGCAGGGGAGGAGAGAAACCGGAGCGTGTGTGCAACTTTGGTTTCCCGAGGTTCGTGCCCATCCCATCCACAGTTCTAGGGGATCCCTCCTAGAACTGCGATAGTGCCGGCAATGTCTTGCGGGGCCAGCCAACGTACAAGTCAGTATTTTTACCCCACCAGCCAAATCCACTAACAGTTAAGCGACTTCGCCGGAATAAAGGCTTGGCCCTGTATTCAGAATCGTGGGAAGCGACGCCACTTGCCACACACTACCTTCGCTCTTGTGAACGGAGTGCGTCGTACATACCAAAACGGGATGCGTAAGCTGTAAGCTGTAAGCTTTGCCTTTAGTTTCTTTACGATCTAGCCCACAGCTGATCTCTATAAGGTCATATTTGGATGTTGGAGAAGTAGTCGATCCAGTGGTAATCAAGGCTAGACGTGGAATTAAGTTAAGGAGCCCAAGGAGCCGTTTCTATTGGGAACCCATGGAGCGAAAGTTGGGAGATCCAAGGACCTCGCAATGCAACAGGAACGAGTGTTAGAAGTGGCATTCAGAACCGCTAAAATATGTATGAGCTGTATAAAACTGTGAGATTCTGAAGCAACGAACTGAAATATAGCAAAGATCACAAAATGACTTACTAGTGTAAGCGCTGCCCCGGCGATATCGTGAATTAGTGATTGCTCCACGTGTAGAAGAGCATGCGCCTCTTGTAAACAACCTATCATCTGAAAATATACATGGCATCATAAAGCTAGTCATAGCCGCAATAGAAGAAAATGAGTGCACTAAGGCTGGTGCCAGAGTCCGCGATCCGTCGCAGGTTTCGCTGATTTCGCGATTTGCGCGTATCACCCGACGGATCACGTAAATCACAAGCGCGCAACCAATACGCAAGGTGTTTCGCCACTCCTGCTTGATAGTGATGGCTGAACGTCGACTGCTCATGATTCCACTTATTTCATATTCAGTGTTCAATGTTCAAATGGGACACTTACAATTTTTGCGATCCGTCGCAAGTTCCGCGAAAATTGCGGAAATCGCGAAAATCAGCGAATCTGCGACGTATCGCGGGCTCTGACACCAAAGAACACTCGGTTAGAGGAATCCTTCACGGAAAAATCATGACTCTATTTCAGCCATAAATCGTTGGATTGAGACTCATTATCCACCACTAGAATGAAAAGAACAGAAATATTGCTTTTGTTTTGGTGCAAAATTCGAAAAATCGAAATGGATGCTACGCGTTCAAACCACCCACGGACGTCTTTCACAAATGCTGGCGACGGGGATGCTTCCACTTGGTTCTTGGAGTGCCTTCACCATAAACTCTTTCTGGCCTTCTGCTTTATTGCATTCGCATCTTACACTTCTACTCCATCCTATTCATCGATTGATTTGTCTCTACTCTAAGAAATCGCGCGCTATATTCCGAATCTTTCATTGCGTCGCCTGATATGTAGCCGGCCACAGGCAAACTTCTTTCCATGACTCGCCATTGGCTCCGCCCGAATTACCTTCGATGTCCATAGTGTAGTTTTTGGACGTTTGTTTCTCTACGAAAACCGAATCTTCAAGCGTGAAATTTTGTGTGCTGTTTCCAGTCATCACTACTAACACATTTATATCAAAAAAGAATGCAGGAAACTTCCGCGAGGATTCCTTTAAGCCAAGTGTCGCGCCTGTTTATGCTCCTCTTAATTGGTGGACTGCCTGATACGAATGCGCGTTCAACTTTCGCATATTGCGGCTGTGTCCGCTCAAGAACGGTAAGCCAGTGCATCAAGAAACATTCTAGCAGGAGAAATGACTTTCTGATAGTAAAATTGTAGAAAATTGAGTTTTGGGGATCTATGAATGCAGCACTGTAACGTAAATATCAGAAGTTAGCTATTTATGCAGTTTATCTGAATGAGGTGGAGGGAGGGGTGGGAGTATTGCTGCAACAATTCGCAACGTCGACGTAAAACTCAAATGTTGCAGGAGGAAGAGGAATCTCTGGGGTGCCGTAGAGGCGAACGCGAAATGGTTCACGCGTCTCAGAGCTCCTTCTCCATGCAAAAATTGGGATTACTGTAGACGGCACGAACTATTGCACCGCAATGCCTCCTCCTTAGGCCGACGTCATAGTTTACGAATCGAGCGTTGCGCTAGCGAATCGAACGTTGCACCAGCGAATCAAACTTTGCACCAGCGAACCGACCGATGCACCAGCGAGTCGAACATGGTACCAGCGACTTAATAGTGACGGGACCCAACATTCAAAGGAGCCCGCCACTTTCGAAGAGTGTCACGTGACAGTGGACCCTATTTGAAAGTGGCGGGCTGCCTTTGAACGTTGGGTCCCGCGACTATTGAGTCGCTGGTACCTAGTTCGACTCGCTGGTACATAGATCGACCCGCTGGTGCAAAGTTTGATTCGCTGGTGCAATGTTCGATCTGGTGGCGCAAAGCTCGGATCGAGCGATTCGCTAGCGAATTTCAAACTCAAAATTCGCAAACTATGACATCGGCCTTATTGTTAGCAATGCAGACCTATTTTTATACAACAGTATATGGATCTAAAATTTATGAATAAAATTATTAGCCGGTACAAAAATGGGAGCTAACACAAGGAAACTTGAAGAACTTCCTTGCCATTTTGCATAATGAGATATTCGAATGGCTACTATTACGGCTACAAAGGATGTTCCAATCCCGCACCCCTTGTTTACCTAGTATTTGCTACAATCCCTGTTTTCTCATTGTTCGAGCGCATCATGTAGCGCACAAATAATAACACAAAATAGATGCACCATCCAAATGAAGGTGATCATCTGATGCTTCTTTCTACTAACGCATAAATGACAAGGAAAATAGAAACCACAGCACTCTGGCCTCGATTCCATTGTGATTGATGACTAGATTAAAAGAAGCAACAATGAAAGCTGAAAGGATCGCTGCTGTGGGTGCTTAGCAAAGCTATGAAAACGTACCTCTGCTACTGTACTCACTGAACTCGGCTGGCCTGTGCCGATGTGCGCCAAATGGCTGGCTTGTAGTAACCGATCCTGCAATTCCAGACATCGCGAAGATTTTGGAAAAACGAATTTTTCATATTTTCCTTTTAACTTGCAATTAGTGATCTAGAACCTATAGACAGGAGCAAAACGCAAACCCTCGAAGTTGGGAATTATTATACTAATCACAAATGGCTCACAGGCGAAATTTTTCGCACTTCATAACTTGCAGTAGGCCATGTGATTCCAGAGAGACCCATATCTGCGAAATGTGCAATCAAATCCACAAAAGAAATTTGCGCATTGGTAGAGTTACTGGCCATCACAGAAGAATGGTTGAGAATGCATCGATTACATCGATCTAACCATAAGTGATCAATTGCGAGATTACTATCATTACAAACCCACAACACGCCACAAGAGTTGTCATGTGAGCTCTTCCTCTGAAAACTCACACTTTGAAAACCAACAATGCAGCTTGCAGCTATCCATGAGTTCCATGGGCAATTTCATTCCTTTTTACGTGACACGTAACCATAACATGTGTAATAAACGGTTTAAACAAAATATTTATGTTCTAGTATGAAACTAGTTTTCCTTTTTATTTATTTTCAGAGTCACTGAAATATGCCAAAATATCCAACGTGCACAAAACCTACAGCAAATTTTGGAAAACTGGATTTTACAGAAAAAGTGTGAATTTGTGTGAACAAAGTATCGATCACTAATGAAGGCATCGATGCACCTACGGAAGACGTTTATCAGAAGCGGATTAAAAATCAGAATGAATCTTAACCAATTCTTGAGCGGTGAATGATCTTGTTGTCAAGACAGACAGTAGTCTTTGTTGAGCCGATTTTTCAGCGTCACCAACTTATTCAACACCGAATGGTAAGCTGACCAAAAGTTGCTGTCAGTCTTGGTTACATGATTATTCAACACCCAACATACTACCGCAAAATGGAAATCATGAAACTCCGAATCATTATTACAAAAGGATTACTACTGCCACGTTCCCGTCGACATTCGTGGACTGTTGAAGGAAAACTGATAACGAACCAGCAAGTTTGGAGCTGCGACAATCCATGTCGTTCTCATCTGACAACCACGATGAAGAACGATGCATTACTGTACCTATAGACCACAACACTATAAGAGAAGGATTTCAAATAAAAGGATAGCATCAATGACACGTAAAGCTAGAAGTAATTCGAGAAAGAAAGTAAGAAATTAAGAAAATAAGCTTTTCATTTTTGTAAAATTGTGCAAAGGAGACTTCTATCGGAAAGTTTCTGTAACAGGAAACGATGCGTATAAGCATGTCGTTATTGTCAATGTATTTAACTTAAAGTATTCTCGATCCAATTTTTAGGAGGATGTGATAGCAACAACACGTGACAGAAATTTTGCGTGCAAAATGTAAAATGCCCAAGAGCGAACAAGTATGAAGAAAGTGTTGCCAAAACGGGAAAAGAAACTGCCGAGCGTATAATTTTCTCACCAATACAAAATGCACTCCTACTCTGTCGCGCATTTTTCAAATAACCAATGGCGGGAATCGTGCCTTGCGATCGATAGTCGTGCGAATAGTACAGTAAGAAGAAAGAAATGCAGAAGGCGGAAGCGATCGGTTTTTCCGTTTCTGATCAAGATTTATCTATCTGTGAAGGGAGAATGCAAGATTATTGAAAGAAAGAGACTATCAGCAGACTAACACATTGGAGCCTCCGTGCATCGTCGAGTATGCACGTCGAAGGTCCCACATCTGACAACCGCGCATCACCGACTATGTACATGGTTTTAGCTCTTCTCCAAAATATTTTTCGTCGCTCACGTGCTAAGAATTTCCATGAAGTCTTTAAAAACATTGAACACATGGCTGTTCTCATTTTCAATTTCAAGAGATTTCCGGAACTTAAACCCGAGCAAGAAACTAGCAGAAAACAAAAACGAGGAAAACTGAAAAAAGAAAGGGCAAAATTTGTACGCTGCTACACAGGGCCCATGTGTAGACAGACGACCAGCAGTAACGATCGTAACTGTTGCACAACCGAGCTCGTGTGAGTGCTCAGCAGAAATACATAGATCTTGTAACGAGACATTGTTCCTGTGTCAAAATTCCATGAAATATCCCGGATGTCACATTTGTGCATCGCCGGGTATACACGCGAGTAATGCAGCCATGTCGCATGTAAATGTAAATGCGCCGAAAAAAAAGAAAACGTCACCCGAATAAAAGGATGTCTAAAGTGGGCATCAAAAAATGGATAAAATGGGGACTGAAAATACAAAGATATCCCCAGAAAGAAAACGATATGTGGTAACCCACATTATTGGGATAACTAGAGAATGCTGAACGACCCATTGGAGCTTGAGGCCGATGACAGATTTTGCGAATCGCGCGATTCGCTAGCGTCTGAGGTCGCGTCGCGGCCAGTGAATCACTCAACTGGCTGGTACCGCAACGCGACCGCGGCGCTAGCGAATCGCCGCGACTCGCAATGTCTGACATCGGCCTTAATCCGAGTTTCGCAGAAACTTCTTCTAGGGTGTGCTTCACTAGGACAGAAAGCAATCTTCGCTTTTCGCACGCCAAACTTTTTCACTGCGCGGACCTCAGGTCCATCGCTTATCATGGTGGTCCTGGAGTCCTTGCCGCAAACAGTTTTGGCTAGTGTCAGAGTTCGCGATCCCGTCGCCGCGACGGACCACGGAACTAACAAGTGCCCTAATCGATCATACGAGGTACCTCAATCCCAACGTTTATTTCTGCTTGATGGTGACGGTGAAGACGACTGTTCATGATTCTACTTGTTCATTAAGTGTTTCAAATTTTAAGTGGACAGCACTGCGATTTTGGGATTTCGCGCGAATCACGTGACGGATCGCGGACTCTGACACCAGCCTTCGCGGGCGAAAAGCTCAAAAATTCGCTTTTGTTCCCCGGCCCCCACTTTCTTCACGATTTCGGGCGCGGGCGAGCGCGGCCGAGTCGATAGTGCCAGCGAAACTGTGTGGGTAAATTTGAAACGCATCACCACACAGTTCGCGGAGCACTATCACTCGTCCGGCACGCTCGTCGCGGTCCGCGCCCCAAAATACGGTGAAGAAGTGAGGGAGCTTTTTCCTCCGGCCCCCCACTTTCTTCACGATTGGGCGCGGTTGCGGCGAGCGCGAACGAGTTCACAATGCCAGCGAACTGTGCTGGTAAATCTGGAAACGCTCCACTACACGTCGCGGGCACTGAGGACTCGTCGCGCTCGCCGCGCCCGCGCCCAAATCGTGAAGAAAGTGTGCGGGACAACCACAACACTTCTTTAAAGCGTATGCATGTAATTGAACAATAAATTGCTAATTTTTTTCTTTTTATTACGAAAGAGCGCTGTATATTTACTTACAGGGGTTAGCTCAACCCAATTTTTAAAAGGAAGCAGAAGTGCTTGAGAAGTAGTCACATTTGAATCCAACACGTCTGAAACTTCTTTTCGGTGATGTATAACAAACTAAGTGGGAAAACATTGTGATGTCAAGCTGGCACCAAATGACAGTCGGCTACCAAAAAACTGATGTCTATAGGTAAAACGTCCAGGCATGAATTTACGCCCCACAGGCGAAAAGTTCAGTGAGAGAATTTTGCAGCTCGCGGCGATCAAATAGCAAAATAGAGCTGAAAAATAACGGGGATTCACAGACGCAATTTAGAAGGACAAAAACACCTCCAAAGGCTTACAACCGGCTCATTCGCTTCTGCAAGCATAAGGTTGCAATTACACACTCAACAACCACTCCAAACATGGATGAATGGTTCCTAACTAAACGATGAAGACACACATCAAAGAGAAAACAAAGCTGATTGCTCTGAACGAGCTCGCGCTACACCTCATGGAGCAATGAAAGCCACAGTGTGCCCTGTTGGCGTGACCGTTCTGCAACTACAGAAAGTTGACAAGGCTTACGGTAGTAGCGCCCTATAAAAAACGATATCGTGATCTCTTGTGGTGATTCTCGACATTTTCTCTAAAACAGCTTTGGCCGCTTCCTTTTCACCCTTTCCCTCGGCCCTCGGTCCTACAAGAATTGACGAACTATCCAGCTTTCTACAACACAAATCCCAATTTGATATTTCGTCTAAGCTTTGCTATACAGTCGGTAATGGAGCCCTAACTTAGAAAGACACTCTTTTTTTGACGGCTGGCGCCATCTGGCGCCAGTCGCGTCTCTTGTCACGACACATGTCACAAACTCGTAACAAATTCTGTGTAGGGTTTATTTGATTTCTGATGACGAATATATCATCGTTTTAGAATTACGCTCGTTTAACCCATACTTCCGCTTTTGGGAAGTATGGGTTATTATTAATAGGCTTTGTGATCGTATTTGAAAAAATTAGAGCACTATCTAAGCAAAACACTTCAGAGTCCAGGCAAGTTGGGATCGGTACGAGAATGAGTCAGGTACCGGCGCAAACATAGGACCAGGCGAAACTCGCCACATTGGCGGGCATGCGTTCGCATCAGGAAGCTGCCGACAGAGAAGTCTTGCGTTAGTAATAGGTGCAGTTCAAAAACCGAAAAAATGCGATTAAAGGGGTGCTACTGAATTGAAAAGTCGGATTGGGAGACCCGCGCCGTGTTGTGGGCGGAGCGTTCTCTGAAAGTAGTGTTTCTCCAAAAAGAGAAGCCATCGACTCTGGTATCGAGAAGGGCTATTGGAGCCGGTAGTAAAATCGTGGTTGAGAGGAAATGACCTGAGGGCCTAAACATGCCTGAACAATGTAATGGAAAAGCCCTGCCCTGGGATAGCGGAGTCGTGTCCTTAAGATGGGCAGCGTTTATGGAAAACCTGTCATAAGTCGGGCTGAGAGAAGCGCCCAGAAACCGGAGAAAAAAAAACTCTCAAAGGTTAGAGAAGGAGCAAGATTGAGGGTCAACGGGGTACGGGCGGGGATAGTGGAGATGCGAAATATGCTATGTACGGCAAAGTTTGCCACAAAACATCTTCCGAGCCTGCTGATAAAGACCGGCATATTTATGATGGATATGATTGATACCGGCGTGACACAATTGAATTTTGATTGTTGTAACCCCTTTCAATCTATAGTGTGATTAGTATGCAAGTCTGAGGCTCCCAGAGCAAAAATCTATATTATTAGTCGATATCGATCGATAAACATGTGGAACCGATAGAATTCGATTATCAGTACAGGCCCCAATCAATAGTGTGATTTCGAACTTATTCGGGCCACTCTGCACAAAACCGATTATTTTTCAATCGATATCGATCGATAAACATGTATGGCCATCTATAAATCAACTCCTATACACTACGCAATCAATATTGTAATTCGCTTGGCAATTCGAGGACACTGCACAAAAAACCTACATTTTCTACGGAGATCCAGCGTAAGTTCCGCCCATCGGTCGACTCGCGCCAATACCGTACTTTTAACCAAGCCTTGCCTTTCACCCTCACACCTCTAGCGGGCAACTCTCCTACCTATCGGAGCCACGCCACCCATCCAGGATCATGCCCCAACGTGCTTCTTCTGCCGAGTCTACGTAACGTAGCGACCTAGTGGTACAAACAGGACAGAACAAACACACCAAATCTGCCGCTTCTATATATTAGAGTCAACTCTCAAACATGTCCAGAATCTGGCAGAAATGGCTGGAGAAAAGTAAAGAGCTAGAGCATTCTACTTGCTTTTGCTTTAAGCTAGCACACCCAGCTACCGGCTATATTCATTTTAGTTTATAGTGCTGCAGGAGGAAACACTTAGCACGTAAAAGAATTCATAGTGCACCAACAACAGCGTGGAATGTTCCAGCATGAACTGGCGACACGTGGCAATCAGCAACTCGATTGCTGTGTCTGCTGGCCTCAACTTACGACGTGATACAAGTTCTAGAAGTGCTACGTGGAAGATAGGTGTGAGACGCTCAAAGAGGTGAGAACGGAAGCGAGTTGTGGTTGAGGACGCGTTTCATCATCTGTATCACGCTTCCAAAGAAGAGTCCGGCTGTGGATGAATGACGGTTTCAAATAGGCGCATCACAGATGTTAGACTTTGCGATGTTTGCCCACAGACTGCAGGTCTAGACTGCACCTGTTACAGCGCATTGCTGC